GTATAAAGCACAATGTATATGAGTTAAATATACCATGAAGATATGCCATGGAAAATCAATAAATATTTTTAAAAAGAATATGACTTTGGAATTTAGGCAACTCGACGGCACATAACAACAACAATGAAAATTTTTGTATTTCATTATTTTCTTTGGTTTCATCAGTATAAACCATTCAACTTCCTTTATTTTTTATTTGCTTATTATATAAAAACACTGTCAATTTACCTTATTCACAAACTAATATTTTCAACAGCTGTATTTAAAAATAATACTGTTATTTTAAAAATCTTATCCTACCATTAAATACTGATTTTATTTGAATCAGTTAGAGCTTTTAAAACTTTTAGGTTTAATAGGGAGCTCTGGTTGCCTAGTGGCAAGAAGCTGCACCGCAATCCCAGAGGTACGCGATTCGAATCCACCAGATGTTCTTCTGGAGAAGGAGGGGCAATCTCCCCTTGTATCAGTCAGATCTGATCTGATGGTACACACACACAAAATTTTAAAAATTAAAAACTTTTAGGTTTATTGGCAATATTACATATTACATATACATTTATTAATGCTATTATATTGTTCATATTTACGTCCATAAATTAGGTTGCAATTGGTGTTTTAAGGTTCCCAAAAAGCTTAACATTTACATATAACATTGTAGTATAAATGACCTTAAATTTATGTGGTATTGGAGATTAACTTCTTGATATCCTGACATTTAAAATATTTAAGCATAATGTTAAAAAATTAATATGAATATTATAAAACGACTTAGTTTCATGAGTAGCTTATGTTAAAACCATTTCTTTTTTTTTTTATACTTGTGTGTTCTATATTCTTCATTTCAAAACCTCTCTAAATATAGCAGGCTACGACAGTTGTCAGATTTCACTGAAAATAGTGTATCATTAATTGCTGTTTAAAGAGCAAGTCTTAATGATGAGAACGTTAGCTAGCTGCTAATAGCAAGGTCCGCTGTGTGAATCCAGAAGCTCCTCTCTGGAGAAATAAGATGGGGAGTCTCCTCCCTTTAAGAGTTACAGCCTTGGAAATGCAGTGGAGGGTCCTTCTGAATTGGAAGCTTGATGACAGGGTGGAGTTTTCTGTTGTTTGTTACTGTTAGCTACTGCTCAGGCAGCCCTAGACTCAGGATGCCCCATATGGTACAGGATAGAACTGAGCTCCTTACTGTTTCCTCGCTATAATCTTTATGAAGGCAGATCTCCAGGCCTTACTTCCACAGCTCCACAGAATAGGTTCAGTGTTGCTGTTGTTGTTTATTGCTGTCGAGTTGAGCATGACTCATAGTGAACAAAAGACCTGAAGCCTTTCCATAACTATCACCATTTATCAAAGTTCATAGCGTTTCCAGAGACATGTTGTTTAGGAAGTGCAATAGTCCTGTGTCATTTCACCCATATTAAAAATAATTTTATGTAACTAGCTAAAACACTGTACATGTGAACCTTTCACTCATTTACTGTGATCATTGACATTGTACTAGTGAGTTCATGGAAACCTTTTCAATCAAGGTTGTACATATTTTGAAGTAGGAATTATTTTTACAATTTGAATATTCCTGATTGTTGTGTTGGTGGTGATGTACACGCCTTCAACCACATACCTTTGTGCAGTTGCTTACCACTAGGCATCAGAGCTTCCTTAACTCCTGATTAGTATAGGGTTTTTTCCACACCAATTGTTACAAGTAAAAAGAAAATGAATACCCCTATTATAATTGAGCAAAGCAATTGAATAGTTTTATTCTTTGTTTTATTTTGTTTCTCACCTCTCTAAATATTTCTTGGCATTTTAGTGCTTCAGAGAATTTAGAGGAGCTGTCTTCCTCCAGTAACTGGTTCCTTAACCAGAAGCACAGTAAGAAAAGAAAAAAAGACAGGACAAGATTGAAATCTCCATCTCTGACTATCATGAGTACGGCAGCCCGAACAAGGCCACTTCAAAGTTTCCACAAAAGAAAACTCTACAGATTGAACCCTACTTTTTATTGGAGTCAACAGGTAAGGTGGCCTTTGTGAAAATGTGAACCAAGACTTTTACCATTGGTGTGTATATATTTCACATTTCAGATGTGGATTTTTATTAGTTATTTAACTCAATATAGAAAAGTTAATAATTTTTAAAAAAAATAGCAGTGCATTCTGAAATTTCTTACATTCCTAATTTTGTTTTTAAACCCACTGTTATAACTTAAGGAAAATATGTATTAAAATTATTTTAATATTTTACTTGCAAGGTTAATAAGGAGAACACAAACCTATCACTTTATTTATCTTGTGAATATTTGATCAAGTAACAAAATTTGCACCACTGCCTGTTATTTTGGAGAAAACAGAAGTGTTTTTAATTTGCCACTTGTTAGTTAATTCTGTTAGTACGCCTTTTCTGCCTCCTTCTAGGACATAAGCTATAAAATTTTAGATTTTCATGCTTAAGATTTATACAAATATAATATTCTTCATTAAAAGTATTCACTTTGAGAACTTTTTTTTCATTTGTAAATAAATGTTGAGTTTACTTTCAAATAGTTTATGAAACTGTGACCCGGTACAAAATCTATATCTACTTCCTACAGTGTGACATTCTTTTTATTATTATTATTAATTTCAGTGAATATTTACAGAGATTGTGGATTTCCATTCATTCATTGTTGCACTTTTCTCCCCGCCCACCCCACTCTCACCCCCAGTTCACTCTTCTTTAAAAGCAAAACTCCTTCATTGGTATACAGTCCCCCCGTGCCCTCCCACCCTCCCCCCGAGTATACTCCACTCTGCAACCTTCATTCCAAACTCTTATGATAACCATAATACCCTAAAATATATTATTTTTAAACTGTCCCTCATCGGCTTCAATGCAGTATACATAATTTATCCATTTTTTTCTCAGACTTACCCCCACCCTGATGTCAGCCTCATTCTACAACAGTGGTACCATGCAGTATTTGTCCTTTTGTGACTGAGATATTTCACTCAGCATAATGTCCTCCAGGGTCACCCATTTTGAATATTGCATGAGTTCCTTGTTTTTCAACACAGCGTGTAGTATTCCATTGTGTGAATATACCGCAGCTTCTCTATCCATTCGTTTGTTAAAGGGCATTTAGGTTGTTTCCAACTCCTTGCTATTGTGAACAAAGCCACGATAAACATGGGTGTGCATATATCTGCTTGGATGTCGGTTATGGTCTCTTTAGGGTATATTCCCAGTAGTGGAATTGCTGAGTCAAATGGTATCTCTAAATGGTATCTTCAGGTCCTCCTCAGTTGTCGAGAGCAAGATTACATCATCTGCATCATACAGGCTGTTCATGAGTCTTCTCCAAAACTGAGGCCACATTCTTCTTCATAAAGTCCCACCCCTTGAACCCCTGACTCACTCCTTTCTTAACTTTAAACTATGCAATGTTTTTTTTCCTCTGTTCTGACAGCTGTTTCCTGGTCCAAGTATAGGTTTCAACATGAGCACAATCGAGTGTTATGAGATTCCCATTCTTCTCAATGTTAGAGCCACAATTTGTTGTGATCCATACAGACAAATGCCTTGTCAATAAACAACACAATGGACATTTTTAGTCAATAGACAACACAGTGGACATTTTTCTGGTACTCTCTGCATTCAGCCAAGATCCATCTAACATTGACAGTCACATCTCCAGTTCATAGCCTCTTCTAAACTCAGCTTGTATTTCTGGAAGTTCTCTGTCAATGTACTGTTCTAGTCATTTTGGGATAATCTTCATGATTTTGCTGATGTTTGATATTAGTGATATTGTTTAATAATTTTCACTCTCTTGCATTGCCTTTTTTTGGAGAGCGGGAATAAATATGGATCTCTTCCAGTTGGCTAGGTAGCTGTCCTGCAGATTTCTTGGCACAACCTTTTGAGCACGTGCAGGGCTGCATCTATTTGTTGGAATATGTTAATTCCATCAATTACAGGTGTCTTATTTTTGCCAGTTCCTTCAAAGCAGCTTGAATTTCCTCCTTCATCACTGTTGTTTCTGATCATATGCTATTTCATTAAATTCTTCTATGTCAGCTAATTCTTTTTTTGCCCTTATATTGTTGTGTGATATGAAAGAACATATTTGAAAGGTACTCAGCCCCAGTGCGTGGTAAAAGTCCTCATCACATGTGAACAATGATACTAATTATGCAGTGTATAACATGGTGGAGTCATTGATAGTTTTGGAGTCGGGGAGTAAAATGATCAGAGTTATGTTTTTAGAGGATTAATTTGTGCACAAAAGATATAAAAATTGGCGATGGGGAGACAGGAAAAACACAGCTATGAGGCTATTCCAAAGTCTAGATATGAGATTGGAGAGTGATGTTAATAGAATGAAAAGAACAGATGCTTGAAAAAATTAAACAAGAAATTATTACTTTTCTTATTTGACATGTTTAAAGAAAATTTTCAAAAGAGCAGATGAGAGAGAAGTAACACACAAAATCATGGCCTTCATGGGTCTAGTTCTCAAGACACTCATGTCCAGTTTCATTTTGTTGTTCGTTCCCATCAAGTTGCCTCCGACTCGTGGTGACCTTGTATGTACCCAATCAGAACCTTGCTCTGGCCCATGCATCTTCGTGAATGTCGGTATGTTCAGTCCATTGTTGCAGTTATTTAAGTCTTAACATTATTACTGTTACATGCTGTCATTTCTAACTTACAGTGATCATATGTGAGAGTAAAACAGCCCCATGGGGAGTTTCTGGTTGATTTATTATTTTTTTTGGCTGTTGTACATAGGGTCGCTATGTCTATGAGTCGCAAACGACTCGACGGCACATAACAACAACAAATCTTCATAGTAACATTATATCAGGCATTAGGAATCAGTAGAATATGAGGCAAATCTGAGTTGCATTTAAGATTTCTCACTCATAGTTCTATAAACTTCATTGTGAAGTAGAGAAATGAATCATTATCTTTCAGAACACACATTAACAAACTGTAAGTCAATTGCTTTAAAATTATAGAATCCTTAATTATATGGAGTGTTTTGTTTGTTTGATTTTGGTTTTCTGTATGGCCCACTCTTGATGTAGTATTTCTTTTTTATGAGGAAAAAATTTCTTTTTGAGGAAATCTTAGTCTTTCTTCTACTACAGTTGATGGTATTGGCTTCTGGCTTGAGAAAAATGTCAACATTTGGCTATTAATTCTCCCTCTCTTTCTTAAAGGCAGAATTCTTTTTATATACAGAGTAGCAATGTATTTTGCTAAAATACATATCTTCTTGTATAGAACCATGAAGGAAGACAAAAAGGCAATTTTATCGCCTCAGATTTTAAAGTCTGTATAACATAGATTCAATTCTTTAAAAATATATAAAATGGCAGAAATATGAATAGTTTTTAATAACATAATGCACTCAATAACTTGTTAGTCAAACAACAACTAAAACAAATAGAAATACAATAAAAGATATAATGAAGAGGAAAACAAATTAATAAAGTATGATATAATATCATTAATATTACATGCATGTAAAATCATTGTTGTACATTTTCCTCCCTGCTCACTCCTCCCCCACAAGTTCACTTTTCTCTTTGAAAAAAAAACAACAAACTTTCATTGTTATACAATTACCCCCTCCCAAGTCCACTTTATTATGCAGCTCTTAATGCTGGACTGTTGTCATGCAAATAATATCTAATCATATATACCTTTTAAGCAGTTCTCTCCCTCATCTGTTTCAATGCAGTATACATTATTTATTGACTCAAAATTTCTTAATTTCCCTCCAACCTCAATGTCAATCCTGTTTTATAACAGTGGCATTTGCAGTATTTTTTTCTTTTGTGACTGAGATATTTTACTCAGCATTCTCCAGGGTCACCCATTTTGTATAATATTTCATGAGTTCCTTGTTTTTCAATGCAGCATAGTATTTCATTGTGTGAATATACCACAGCTTCTCTATCCATTCGTTTGTTGATGGGCACTTGGGTTGTTTCCATCTTTTTGCTATTATTGTGAACAATGCAGCAATAAACACGGGTATACATTTATCTGTTTGGGTGGCAGTTCTGGTTTCTTTAGGGTATATTCCCAGTAGAGGAATTGCTGGGTCAAATGATAATTCTATACCCAACTTTTTGAGAAAGCGCCATACTACCTTCCATAAGTGGTTACACCATTTTACAACCACCAACAGGGTCCCAGTTTCTCCACCACCTCACCAGCATTTGTTGTTGGCTGCTCTATTGAATTTTGCTATTCTTACTGGGGTGAGAGGATTATCTCTTAGTTGTTTTGATTTGCATCTCAGATCTATGGATTTTAAACATTTCTTCATGTTTCTTTGCCCTCTGAATGTCCTCTTTGGTGAAGTGTCTGTTCATATCCTGTATCCATTTTGTGATTGGGTTGTTTATCTCTATCTTGTTGTGGTGCTCGAGCAGTCTATACATTCTAGCTCTAAGTCCCTTATCAGACATGTCAATATCAAATATTCTTTCCCAGTCTGTGACTTACCTTTTTGCCCTATTGGAGAATTTTGATGTGCATAGGGAATTGATTCTTGGAAGGTCCTATTCATCTATTTTATCCTTTCCTGGTTGTAGCTGTACCTCACTTTTATGTATGTGTAAACATTGTGTAAAATTAGACTGACTCCAATTTCATTCACTGGCTATATCAGCTTGACTTATGGAACACAAGGCACACAACTGGTCTTAGGGAGCTCTGGTTGTCTAAGAAGTGCTAAGAAGCTGTGCCGCAGCCCCAAAGGCAGGTGTTTTATATCCACCAGCTGCTCTGCTGGAGAAGTATGGCAATCTCCTGTGCAATTAACTGCCTCTGAAAAACCCAGTGGAGGGTCAGCTGTGAATCAGTGGCACACAACAATGTTTACCCTAACTTACAGTTCTCACTAAATTACTGTGCGAACATTTTCTTTTGATTCATAATTCTTAAATCTAATTTTGCTCTGTAATGATTTCTTATGGTATGAGCGTTCCATTTTGAGTGTTCTTCCAAAAATTGGAAAAGGGTAATCAAACTCCACCAGATTCATGATTAATTCATCTAAGCCCATTGGTGTCACTGTGTCAGTCCATGAGCTTGTCAGAGAGCACCAGGATGACACAGGACAGAGCATGGTTCAATCTATTGTTCATAGGGTGACTCTAAGTTATAGTTGACCTAGTGACACTTAATAGCTGTCGCTTATTCTGTATTATTTTGACTCTTTTTCCTCGATGAGGAACTTCTGCAAGGACTTCTCGTATCACTTACTGTATTTTAACTGGAATATTCTCTCTGTTTCTGTTTTCAGGCAAAGATGAGGTCTTTTAATTCTTTCTTTTCCTTTCCAGACTTTGCCTTCAAAAGAAACAGCGTTCTTAAATACTACACAAATGCCTTACTTGCACTCACCGTCAACCTGGAGTAACTGTGAACACAATGCAAAGTCTCAGCTACTGAGAGAACACGTGTCAGATTTGGATTCTTCTTTCCACCCTGTTCTGTCATTGCCATCAGGTAAGACTCTTCATATAAAATTTCCAAGGTATTGGTTATTTTCTAGGGTGAAATATAATCCTAAAAGTATAAGAATGAAGTTTTTATCAATTATTTTATCACTAGATAATACAAATAACTAGTTCTCCTAGAGGAACTTATTGTTATGTACCAGTGAATCAAAACCAACTCATAGCTAACCCTCCAGTGGGTTTTCAGAGTCTGTAAATCACATAGGAGGAAATTTTCTTCTGAGGAGCAGCTGGTATGTCTGAACCTTTGGGTTTGGCACTGTAGTTCCTTACCACTGTGCCACTAGAACTCCCTAGTTCATATATTAAATTAATGTTTTATTTTTGCAAGTTTTTTAATTCTTTGAAAACTATTTATTTTGGAAAGTAACCTTTGATCTCCGTTTTTTTAAACATCTTATTGATAACATAACTGTGCTGTTTCTCTGTAATGGTAATTTAATATTCCTCAATGAATATCACACAATGTAAGTCCAGGTTTAGTCCATCAGTCTCAAGCCAGATTAACAAGGTACAATTCCTCAGTTAAAGTCCAGATTCAGTTCAGCAGCACAGATGCATCTCTGGTTTCCTCAATCATCCAGCAAACTTTTCTCTCAGAGCAGTTACAACTCAGCTTTTCATTCCAGCAAGCAAAACCTTTAACTGTGGCTCCAATTCCAGCATTCCTCTGGTTATATCTTGCCACATTCTCTTCCACCTTCATCCTCTTTCCACCACCATCTTTCACAGTGTGGAAAGTGCCCTCTTATATTGATCCCATAGCTGTTGTTGTGTCTGCAGTTAAGATAGCAGGAGTCCAGGCTATCAACAGGGGCTAACACAATGGATGTTGTTGCGGTGGTGTACCTTAGAGTCAGAACCAACCCATAGCTGACCCTCCAGTGGGTTTTCAGAGGCAGTTAATCACACAGGAGGAGATTGCCCATCCTTCTTCTGTGGAGCAGCACTGAAGAGGTGGCCTTGAACCATGTGCCTTCAGGACTGCAGTGCAGCTTCTTTCCACAAGGCCACCAGAGTTCCCACACAATGGATAGAAAAGCCAATTTTCAAGGTCTCCAACACCATCTCTATAAAGCACAGTTTTTGTTAACTTACCCCCTTCTTCCTCATACTTTAAATCTTGGTTTTGTTTTTACCAATATTAATGTATCTTATACCATACTTTGAAATAGGTGAATTCTTGGCAGGAATCATTTTATTTCCCCTTTGAAGAAACTTAATATAATGCTTCAGCTAAAATTTGATCTTAGCATATACCAACACTCTATATCTAAGCACATTGCATTATTAGTTTAATTCTCATACAACAGCATGAGACATACACTGTTGCATCTCCAGCTTACATATAAGAAAAATGGAGCTTAGAGGTGTTATTTGCCCGAGTATACAGCTAATAAATGATGGAGCTAGGATTTGGACTGAGGTAATTAGTCTCTCGAAGTAAAAATTCCAGCCATTATTATTTACCACATTTCTTTTTTCTTGTTAGTAAACCCTGAGATCTGGTAGAAGTAACCTTCATCCTAAGTCTCATATGTCCTTTATAATAAGTAAGATTAGCTTTGTTCCTTACTAATTAGGGTTAGCCACGCCTTCCTCATCCATGTAATAAAAATCTCAGAAACTACATATACAATCATTCTTTTAAGGGATGATATCTACTTTGTATTTTGATTTTGTACTAGATACAAAGACCCCTAGTGATATAGAGGGTTGGTTGCTAAAAGGTTCCCTGTTCAAAGCCAACAACCACTCCATGGATGAAAAGGGGTGTGGTACTCTGTTCCCATAAAGATTATAACCTTAGAGACAGTTGTGTTCTATCCTATGGAGTCAGAACTGACTTTGTAAGAAGAGGGTTTTTAATACTAAGTACAAGAGGAATGCTGGTGGTGCTTGGCTGTTAACCAAAACGTGCAATTTAAATCTGCCTGCTTCCATGGGAGAAAGGACCTGGCATTCTGATCCCTTAAAGATTGCAGCTTTGGAAACCCTGTGGGGCAGTTCAACTCTGTCCTGAAGGGTACCTATAGTCAGAATCCAAACCGTAAAGTCCTTGCAGTCCTTAAGGTACTACTTAAGGCAAATGAGATATAATCTTATAAATGCATTAAAGTATCATGTTTTTATAAAAGTCCCTGGTGGCAGAGTGTGTCATGCATTGCACTGCTTACCAAAAGGTCCCATGGTTCAAACCCACTACTGCTCCAATGAAAACAATGGCCTGTCTCCGCCCATAAAGATTTACAGCCTTGGAAACTTGATGTAGAGTCACTCTGAGTCAGAAGTAACTCAAAGAAGTGGGTTTCAGCTTGTCTCTATATTGATGAGACAAAGACTTACAAAGACAATTTAAATCCTGTTTGTTCCAACTTAAGAATAGTGGTAGAATAGGTGATTGTCTCATTATGAAAGTCAGTGGTATTTCTCTAGAGATAGAAGCTTTTTAGATAATTGGAAAATAAGTGTAAAATGGTTAAACATTTTGAAAAAAGAATTCATCTGTATTCTCATCTCCTGCCCCAATTTTCGTATGATCATAGTATAGTGCTGGAATTGAAATCTTACCCCATTTCTGTCTCTTGGGATAAATTCTGTGATGGTACTCATGATCCCATTTTCTTTGCATATTTTCACTACATGGGTATACACCTGACAACAGCCTTTAATTAATAAGTATGAAGTACATCTTCATTATTATTTAGTTCCTGTGTGGTTGTGAAAATACAGAATATAAGCACAGTAAAACTGACTATCTGTTCTGTTTGCATTTTCTTCATACTATTGGTGAAGGAATGATTCCTGTCCTGGGATTATGGATAGATGGCCATCATGTTAATGCCCAACACAGAGGAGATGAGATCAATAGGTTATTAGTCACAAATGATCACAGCCTAACAGGGCAAGAAACTGCTTGGTATTCAGAGTCACATGAAGGTTACACTCAGCAATAGGGTGAAAAAGTAGGGACTAGAAGGCAGGTGTTAGAGTAAAAAGAAAGTAGAAAGCCAGCTGGTTCTCGCAGGAAGATATAAGTGGCTTGAGTAATTTTGTAGCTTGGGGAAGAACTAAAGGTCATTACTCTGGTATAAAAAGGTCTGTCCCTGGTCCCTATAATAAGGAGGTTGTTTGATTAGAGACCTTATCCACAAGAGGAGACTGGGTAAGGGTACATGTAGTTAAGAAATTGGAGGCCCTCCTGATTTCAGGTGTCAAGACAGCACATAATTTTAGGTTTTATACAACGACATTTCTTTCTCTCTAGTAAAGGAAGAAGAGTTTACCATTAGGCATCAGTCTTTGTAAAAGTAGATTAAATTCTGATTTATATTAGTAAACTAAGGGAATGTGAACAGATATTTTTATATAAAATTCCATCTGAATTAAGTGGGTTTTCCTGTAAGCAATTCCACATAAGGAAATTATATGTTTTGTAAATCTGATACGTATGGAGAAGATGTAGACTGAACTTAAATGTCTATCAAGTTTGACTGTATATTTTAGTAAAGACATCTTTGAAACATTTATTTCTATTCATATAATAATAGTATTCTGGAAGCAGGAGTGGCATCTACTTTCTAAATAACATGCCTCTGGGAACTCTATGAACTTTGATTAAGTGTTAGTAGTTGTAGAGGGCTTCAGGCCTTTTGTTCATAGGGTCACTATGAGTCATACTCGACTTGAAGGTAACAACAAACAATAGTATTAGAAATACTTAAAATTATTATTCATTTTATATGATGTACTATGCCATTAGTCATCTATGAGTTGTTTATTTAGCACATATATTTGGTAGTTACCAAAATGTTTGTGCCAACATCCTTGAAAAAAGTATTATTTTGCCATATCTGATACATGTGATTTTGTAAACTTTGGCTCAGTTTTCTACATTATGTTTTGTTTCTATCCATTGTGTTTTCTGCATTTCTCCACTCACACTGTGTTTCTCGTTATCATTCCCATACATAGCTCTCACACACTTTTAGAGGAAATAAAACCCATCTTACTACTACAGTTTGGAAAGAATACAGTTCACTGAAAATACTTTTTTTTTTTTACTTTTCTAGATGTGCCTCTTCATTTTCACCTTGAAACACTGTTAAAAAAGAGTGAAATAAAAGGAGATCTTGATGAAAATAAGTGTGTAGGCGAGTGTCTCATATCGCCTTCAGCTGGTATGTCAGTTATAAATCTTGCACTTTTTACATCTTTCATACTTACTATTTCTGTTTCCTAAGGAAATAAAATAGGACAAAAGAGTAAATAATTTTTAATGTTTCCTTCACAAATTACATATACAAACACACAAAAGTACACATGCATGAAATACCTAAGAAAAATAAGTGGGACATCTATTAAATGAAAATTACTAAGTATTAATTAATAGTTAAAAAGACAGGGAGACACTGCATGGATGGTTGGATGGTAAGATTAATATTAGGATCAGTTCTTTTACTTTAAGTCAACATTAAGTTCTATTAGAATTTGTTTAAGTTAACAAAAATCTAAAAGGAATCCAGGAAAAAAATGTTGAGAATCAAATCCAACGCCCAAATGGTAACTTGACATAATTCTGCTATTATAGGATATATTTTGCTTGCATTTGGGATAACAGATCCATGAAATAATCTACACAGCTCATTATATGATAAGGGAAGACCTATAAATTAAGGGGGAAATGAAGAATTACTTAATATACAGTATTGTCAGTCTCTTTGGGTAGTTTATTTACACACTGATGTCATACGATGTATCAAAATAAATTGGTTCCGAGAATGTTAAATTACACGTTAAAATTATAACACCTGAATAAATTTCAAATGCTATATGGGAGTGAGTACATTTTCTATGCTGGAAGTAATCAGAGTAAGAAAGAAAAAAAAAATTTTGCCAACACTACAATCTTGTCAACATCAAAAAGTCATACAAACTATGAAAAAATAAGTATCTATCTCTAAAATTCAGCAGTCACTGCAATGCCTCTTAGCAATGAAATTCTAAAAGTTAGCAGACTTCAAAAGTATTAAATTTTAACAAGAAGCTACATGAAGAAAACTTTTTAAGTATACTAATGTAAAAAAGCCTAAGACCTGCCTGTATAAAAGGAAGACCCTGTTCCTGAGTCAGAAACAGAATTATTTCCTTATTTAATGTCAGTTTTTCTTACATTAATTTATAAATAAAACAGACTAGTAGAATAAAGTTATTCTGAACTTAATCTCAGAGAAGCAAAGTTGAAGAATAACCAATAAAATCAATTCAATTCTAAATATGTAATAAGTTGGCTTACCACTTTAATAAGTTTAAATATTATAATAAATTCTGGCAAGGCTGTAGTGAAAACACTGTTGAATATTTTCGATAACGTGAAGAATTGACACAAGTCTTTTGGAAGTGCTGTGAAATACATTGAAAGCCTTTATTTTGCTTAATATCTTTTTTTTGTTTAATATTTTTAATAAGTTCATTGAAGTTAAAGGGGGAAAAAACTCCAGAAGCTACTACCTTAATTTATTATTTTTATACTTACAATTATTGCTTTCTGAATTTTTAACTTTTATTCCAGTACTAGTTTAAGAAAATAAATACGAAACTATCTTTATTCACAAATAAATTAATCATAACATTTTTCATAATAGTGAAAAATCAAAAACAATTTGACAATAGTGATGAGGATAAATACTAGACTAGCCAGACTTTCAAAATAGAAGTTCAGGTAGGAAGAAAAAAAATGGATGAAAAATTCTGCTGTTATGCGTAACTTAAATAAACTTGTTTTTATGTCAACCAAATGTAATGCATTCTCTGGACCTTGTTGCTATTCTGATTTGAAGAATCCAGTTATATACACAAAACACACATTTTTGAACCATCAGAAATTGGAACATAAACTGGCTGTTAGATAGTATCAGTAAGTTATTGTTAATTTTGTCTTGCATCATTTTAGATGAAAACACACAATGTCTCAGATGTGCTTTATAATAAGAGTTGGGGACAGAGATGAACAAGAGTGATTACAAGTTGGTCATTATTAAAGCTGAAGGACATATACACAGAGCTCATTTTTCTATTATCTTTGAAAATTTTCTATAATTAAAGTTGAAAGAACAAAGAGGGTTCACCAAAGAGAAAGAACAATTGTATGCACAGGAAAAAGAGACTAAAAATAGGGAAGTATAGATTATATCTGTATACTCTTTCATGAAATGAAGTTTTTTAAAAGAAAATCAAGTATGTGTGTAAGAGTATCTATAAAAGCAGTATCATAGTGGTAATAAGAATTGCAACAGTAGCTAATAATGTAATAAAACTAAATGGTAAATAGCTAAATGATACTAGCTCCAATTTGAATACTATTTAAAGTAACTAAAAATAAAACAAAGAGTAAGAAATGAAAAAAATATTAAGTCATACATTCGTTCTTAATGAAATGATTTCCTATTTGAAATGTGTATGAATTATGAAATGTGACTAAAAGGAAAGATAAAAAATGGAAGTTACTAGTTGTTAGATTATTTTTCTAACTGTCCACTGTTTAACTTAAAAATTTGACACTGTAAACACACTAGGCAAGTAAGAATAGTATTGAACTAATAATGTAAGGACATGTTATTAATGAGAAATTAAAATATAGAATATATTTGAACTGAAGTCCACATTAATAGGCAAATTAGTACCAAAAAAAAAGGTACCAAGTTCTCTTTTTATGTCTCATTGCATATTACTTGCCATCCCAAATTATTAAGCATCTTGTAGACAGAGGTATATGGTTCAAGGGTTCAGTTCCTAGCCAGAGTGCCTGAAATGCAACCCCTACTCATTTGTCAGTGAAGTGTGTGTATATCGCTGTGCTGCTGAACCGGTTTTAGCAGAACTTGCAAGCTCATATAAGGAGGAAAGACCAGAGATCTGCTTTGGAAAATCAGCCAATGAGAATCCTCAGACCTCACTGTGTGTAGGGCTGCTGGAATCTGGCAAGTTTCACAGGCCAGTAAGCACTTGTCTTTGGTTCAATAACAAGTCAGTTTTTCTTGTATTGTGAATGATTTCTACAGAAATAATCCAATACTTATTACTGAGCACCTGCTATGTGCCAAACAGACTAGAAGAATCAAAGGTGAATAATAAGACACCAAATAAATGACAATGTCCTGGAGGAAACTCCAGTTCTTTGCTGTTGAATCTGAACCGGTCAGAGTGGACCCTCCACGGTGCTTCTAAGCTTTAAACTGCACAGGAGGAGACTGCCCATCTTTGTCCAGCAAAGTGGCTTAACTCCGTACGCACTGTGCCATCAAAACTCCCAATAGGGGAGAGCTGACATCAAATACATATATGACGTGATGAGCAGATGAGAATATTTTTAAGCGCAATTGTTTTAGAGGTCATCAAATCGATGACAACTCTACTGACCCTATGAACAACAGCTCCGACGCTTGTCCCACCTGCGCCATCCTCATCATCTCTAATATGCTTAAGTCCATTGTTACATTGTGTCAGTCAATCTTGTTGGCATCTTCCTGTCTTTTCTTAACATACCTTTCCTACCTTTCCCAGCCTGATGTCCTTTTCCAAGGACCAGCCCCTCCTGACAATCAGCTCACAGTAGATGAAGGTTCACCACCCATGCCTCTAAGGAGCCTTGTGGGGGCACATCCTTCAGGACAGACTTGCTTGTTCTTTTGGCAGTCCTTGGGATGGACAGTCAGTGCTCCCACACAATTAAAGGCATTGAATCTTCTGTCATCCTTATTCACTGTCCACATTTCAGATGCATAGGAAGCAATTAAGATGACCATGGCTTGGATCAGGTGAACCTCAGTCTTTAAACTGACAATGCCAGCTCTTTAATTCTTTGGGCAGGTCCCTGATAGTTGATTTTCCTAATGTAACACATCTTTTGATTTCATGATTGCTGTTACCGAGTGTTGATTGTGGAGCCAAGTAAAATGAAACTTGAATCTTTCTTCTATCATCTTGTTACCTATTGGTCTACTGGTGAGAATTTTTGTTTTCTTGATGCTGAGATGTAAACCATATTGAAGGCTGTAATCGTTGACCTTCTGCAGCAAGTGTTTCATGTCCTCTTCATTTTCTGCAAGATTGTGTCATCTGCATAATGTAGGTTGCTGATGAGTCTTCTTCCAGTCTCATGCCATATTGTTCATCTAGTCTAGCTTCTCAAGTGATTTCCTCAGCATACAGACTGAATCAGTATGGAAAATGGATATAGTCCCTATGTAAACCTTTGCTGACCTTAAACCATGCAGTCTTTGTTCTGTTCAGGTAACTGCTGCTTGGTCTAGATACGTTTTGCATGAGCACAATTAAGTATTTTGGGACTCCTTTTTTTCTTAATGATCCACACAGTAAATCTGCTTAGGAGAAATGGAATTGATGGGTTATGTCAAAAGGCAAGACCAGGAGAAGGATGATGCCTGTAGGAGCTTCAAATACTTCGGTTACATGTAGAGGGAAAAGGTGATGAGGTATTCCAAATCAGTGCTTCTCCAACTTCAGTGTGCAAATAAAATACTTAGGGAATATTATTAAAATGCTCATCATTATTTAATAAGTTAGGGATAGAGCAGGAGATTAAACATTTCTAGTAAGGTCTACCTCCACACCTTTTCAACCTATATGCAGAACAGATTGTCCGGGAGGCTGGGCTCTATGAGGAGAAATGTGGGGTCAAGAT